TCTTCACCATCCATCTGATGCTGTTAATTGGCCCAGTGCTGAGAATCTTTATTATTAAATTAATTTTAATGAACATTTACAGATATTTTGGATTTCCATTCATTCATTGTTGCACTTTTCTCCCTGCCCACCCCTCCCCTCCAATTCACTCGTCTCTTTGAAAACAAAAATTCCTTCATTGGTATACAATCACCCCATCCCCCACACCCCCTCCCCTGCCCAGAGTACACTTTATTATGAAACCTTAATTCTGGACTCTTGTGATAACCATAATACCCAATCATATATCGCCTTTAGTCTGTTCTTTACCTCATCTGTTTCAATACAGTATACATAATTTATCCAGTTTTTTCTCAGTCTTACTCCAACCCTGATGTCAGTCGCATTCTACAACAGTAGCACCATGCAGTATTTGTCAAGAATCTTTATAATTGACATTAATTGCTTCAGAATTTCTCAATTACAGTCAAGAAACAAAAGCATTCTTACACAGAAAAATGAACCAAGTATGCTGAACAAGGCTTTGAACCAGTCCAAAATGACTCAGCAATTGCCACGGTAAACTAAAACAATACATATAGTCACATCCGTAGCATGATATTTTCATCTTCAAAATAGCAAATCACACACTGCCATCAAGTAGATTCTGACTCACAGTTATCCTCCATTGGGTTTCCCAGGCGGTAACTCTTAATGGAAGAAATTGCCCATCTTTTTCTCTCAGAATGGCCAATGGATTTGAACTATCAGCTTCTCAGTAGTCCAATTCATTAAACTCTATGGCACTCAGTCTCCTTCAGTGCTTCCAACTCAATCCATAATAACCCAGACAATAGATTTAGTTATTATGCAACATAAATATAGCTCTTGTTTATCAGGAAGATTACTAAACCTTTTGGAACTATTTCAAAGTCTTTATTTTAAGTAATCATTTTTGATCATGGATCTCATCATACTTCTGTATAACTCAAATTCTCTTAAACCTTGAGTAAGTACCACAAACAATCTGCCTTAGTTTTTGCTCTCTGAAAAGTGAGAATTAAATGAAAGAATCAAACCAATTAAAATTACCTTATCTTTTAAGAGCAAGCTCAACTTGAGAGTTCAGTAATCACCACCGACTGATTATCATTCAGGGATAAATAATACACAGCAGAAAGCAAGAATGAGAGAAGAAAATAAATCGAAGAGGCAATTTTTGTGCCATTTACGGTAAGACTTCCCTTGTTTTATTGAATTTGTTAATAAAAGCTCTAAAGTCTTGGGAAATGCTGCTGGGCAGCAAAAGCAAAGTTTTGATGCTCACAGGTCTAAGGAGAAATTAATAAAATGCAGTGGAGAAATTAAGTTGAACAAAAGTGCAATGAGCCATAGTTAAAGCAATTAATTAAACAGGTTTTGATATGTATACAACTGGGTTGCTGAAGAATTAAAAGTAAATCCAAGATTTTAAAGCAATGTTTTTTATGAAATAAAATCTCATATAGTAACAAGCATGAAATTTAGAGTTATTTAATAGGTCCTTGATGAGTTAACTACTTCATTCATATATAATGATATCTTTCTCTTCCCCCTTAATTATTAACAAATATATATTATTGTGGTTGTTGTGTGCCTTTAAGTCAGGACTGACCCATAACTGACCCTCCAGTGGGTTTTCAGAGGCAGTTAATTGCAAGGAAGGAAACTGCCCATCTTTCTCATGGAGCAGCTGGTGGATTCAAACTTTGGGCATTTGGGTCTGCAGGGCAGTTTCTTGCTTCTAAGACATGAGAGCTTTCTTAACAACTAAGTATTTACAATCATACATAAAAGCTTTATGCTTTACTTGATCTTCCTCTATATTGTTTAGATTCAAAACCAGGTAATTTTCGTTACGATATTAACTAGAAAAAATTTTATTTTTCAATAGTTAAGTCTACTTTTTTTTTCTTTTTTCTGGATGCAATGAAACTTACTATGCCCAGTACATTGGTAAGGAGGCTTTGTGGCATAGTTGGTTGTGTTAAGCTTCTAACTAGAAAATCAGCAGTTTAAACTTTCTATCAGCTCTGTAGGAGAAAGGTAAGGCAGTCACTTCCCATTAAGATTTACATATAGCTTTGGAAACCTAGAGAGAGTTTTCTATAGAGGATGACTTGTGTTGGAATTTATGTAATGACAGTAGATTTGGCTTTTGGGTTCAGGGTCTGCTGGCTGGGCAGTATCAAGATAATACGCCTAAGAATCATTCATATAAAGGTTCAAATTCTGACTCAGAACTAAAGATAGGTGAGACCAGACACAAGTAACCTAGCTGTGATTAAGACCTAGGTTCTTTTGCTGAAAAAACATTGTATGAGTTAGATACATGATATAAAAAATGCTTCTTAGTACAATGTCTGACAAAGAAAGCTCTCCACAAAATAGAAGTGCTAACAACTGGTATATCCAAACTGTAAATATGTTTTGATCACTAGAGTTGATTGCTGAGAGCTTTAAATGCATTTCTAACAAACTCATGGAAGCATAAATGAAATAAATGCAGGAAAGCAGAATGCTAGATTAGTCTACAACACTTTCAATTACCATATCACTGTCTCATGAATGAATTGGCTTAATAGTGCTCTGTCTAGGGTGACCAATTTGTTCAGGTTTTGCAGGGGCTTTCTTTGAATAAAAGTGAAAATCTTACATCTAGGAAAACTCTTCATCCCCTGATAAACCTAACCCTCACTTCTTCATCTGGAAATTGATTATGACTCATGTCATTCATTCATTCTGCTGCTATACAACCACCTACATAGAATCTGGAATAGTAGGACAAATAGAATATAATCCTTGCCTTTAACAAACCCAGAGTCCAGTGAAAGAGACAGACCAGTGAACAAGCCACCTGAGCTCTGTGCTAGATGTTGCTAAGGGAGGCTTGCCCAGATGCAGTGGGAGCAAAACTCATACAGACTGGTGGTTTAGGAAGACTCTGAGGAGGGAAATGCTGAACTGAATTTTGACGTAGGTATACAGCCCAAACCAGGGCCTTCTATTTAGGTCTTCAGGGCATTTTTCATGCCTGAGCTCAGTAAGATAAATATACATATTAAAATGTCATCTCTTATGATTCACTTTGGTTGTTTTCTAACATATTCTGAATAAATTCAGCTATACAAGTAATCTTGATGAAATCTCAGCACAATATGAATGTAAATAACCACAAATTCTTTTATATTTTTATAGCAGTTCCTTTACTCTGGATCTATAGTAAAGTTAAAATTTACTTTTTTAAAAAAAGGCTAACTGCCTCTTTGCTCCTTGGTGACCTACAATGCATTTCACAAAAGAAATTATGGATGTTGTTAGGTGGCATCAAGCCAACAGCAACCCACAACTACTCCATGAAGAACAGTTATGAACTCTGTGCTATCCTGCACCATCATTCCACGTTCCTTCATGTCAAATCCATTGTTGTACTCAAAGCGTGAGTGCATTCCTTGAGGGTCTTTCTCTCTTTCTCTGACCCTCCGCCTCCTGATTATATGCCCAAAGAATATGTGAAAAAGATTGTTGGTGCTGTTGTTATGTTGCCATCGAGTCGCTTGCGACTCATAGCTACCCTATGTACAACAGCTCTAAACTCGGCTCTGTTCTGTGCCAATCTCACTGTCTCCAGCACACCCAGCCTGATTACCGCAGTCAATGAATCAATCCACCTCCCAGAGGGCCTTCCCCTCCTGTGCCTGCACTCCACCCTCCCAAGTATGATGTCCTTCTCTAAGGACCGGTCCTCCTTACAACATGACCAAAGTATGTCAGACGAAGTCTCAGAATCCTTGCCTCCAAGGAGCAGGCCAGTTTAACCCTCTCCGGAATGAATCTCTTTGTTTTCTTAGCAGTCCATGGTACCCTCAACACTCTTCTCCAACACCAAAGCTCAAAAGCATCAATTCTCCTTCTATCCTCCCTGGTCATTGTCCAGCTCTCTGATGCATAACAAATGACTACAAAGACCATGGCCTGTACCAGATGCACCTTAGTCTCCAGAGACACACTGTTGCTCTTAAGTACTTTAGAGAGGTCCCTAACAGTAGACTTTCCCATGACAATACGTCTTTTAATTTCCTGGCTGCTGGTGCCAAGAGCATTGATTGTGGAGCCAAGTAGACTAAAGCTGTGAACAAACTCAATCTCTTCACCATCCATCCTGATGCTGCCAATTAATTGGTCCAGTGATGAGTATCTTTGTATTCTTGACATTGAGCCTCAATCCATATTGAAGGCTGCAGTCCCTGACCCTCAGCAGATTAGGGATGAAAAATTTTTACTGTTCATATAACTCAGCAAACTTCGTCCAGATTAGCAAGCTACACAGCTCAAGTTCCAAAGTCAGTTCTAACATGAGGCCAATGCCCTTTGTTCTATTTATGCAAAAGTCACTTGCTGTTCTTTGTCATGTACCACTGAGTCAGAAGAACTGACCCATGGCTGACCCTCTGGTGGGTTTTCAGAGGCAATTAATTTCATGGAAGAAGAATACCCTCCCACTCCCACACCCCCAGTACTGGCTGGAGGCCTCACACTGTGTGACTTGTAGTAATCTTTTTGATACTTTGCACCAACCTATTAAGAATACATTTGTGCAAACATTGCTTGTGTTCATAAAGACAACTCCTACTATGTTTTCTAAACTTTAGTCCCAAAGCATCATATGAGATGAATCAGTTACAGTCATTATGTACTTTGAGGCTCATAATAACTAAAAGTATAGTTGATAATGAACTTATTGACATTGGAGGTTCTTGGTGATTCTGAGAAACCAGGCAAAGGGAAATACTAAAATTTCCGCTTTTGAGCCTTATTTTCCATTATTGTGTGATTATATATATATATAATTTTTTCCACACAGTAATGCATATATGATCCCTAGACCTAACATATAGTTAATATTCAGTTGCAAAGTAGAACCAACCAGCCTTTTAAAATAATTTTTTAAAATGTTTGTCTTATTAAAAGTGTATTTTTACCTTTGGAGCTTACTACACCAGCTGCAGTTGAAGCCAATCTGAGAGGATACACAGGGGCCACATTCATTGAACTGGAGACATGCTAGGAATTAGGAGAGGACAAAATATTCATCAAGACCTAGTTCACAGAATCAGGGAGAAAAGGGACAGTACAACAAAAATAAAAATCACCCACTCACCCCTATATACACTCAGAGTCTATCCAGGGTCTATGACCATCTCTGCCACATGCTATGTTGGTTGGCCATTTGTAAACAGATCAGATAATCAAACTCACAAGTTTCCTCCCACTTAGCTGAATTCTCATGAAGGAGCCAGACTGGTACAGTTCATCTAATCAAAAGTTCAGGAGTTTGAACTTATCAGTTGTCTCACAGGATAAAGCTGAGATATTTGTTCTCATATAGAATTATAACCATTAATACCCTATGGGGCAGTTCTACTCTCGCCTGTAGGTGAGAAATGACTCAAAGATAGTGTGTTTAGTGTGGGTTTGGCTGGCTCATAAATATTTACTTACTAGGTAATGGAGTCATCTCCACAGCTGAAATGTTGGTAATTTTGGACATTTGTAGCTCTACTCGATGATATTCATAAATTGTTCTTCTTCGAACATCTATAAAAATAAAAAAAAATCCAATTTTAACACTTCCATAACTATAAAACTGTATCAGCAACATGCAAAACTATTACTTTACATCTGATGCAGGCTTAAAATAACATTTCATACCATGAAAAAATTGATTATTATAAACCTGGCCATGTGCCCCTTGTCACTGTGTTGGAAATGTTGACTAGTATCTTACTTAGGTTTCAGGACTTCATGTTATAGTCACCAAAGGAGTACTTAAGACATCTTGATCTACTTATAGATTTTGACACATGAAACCAAGGAGAGCTCCCCTACCCCCAGGATAAAGTTCAAAAAGTTCAGCAAGAATGAACAGCATTAAACACCGTAAACCTAATAATGCTGAATTTTGCCAGATGTTGTTTGATGTTGTAAATGTTTAAAAGAATGCAATGTAAATTATAACACATTAACAAATTAAACACATTTTAAAAATACAAATTTTGCTATCTGTTATATATATAAATAAATCTACAAATATATATATGTATATATCTAAATAAATCTGCATATATAAAAATTTATCTAGCATATCTCTATCTCTATATCTAACATCTATCATATATCTATCTATCAATCTATCATCTACCTACCTACCTACCTACTGAAGGTGAATAACTGGAAAGTATAATCAGCAAATTAAAACAATTCATCGTCAAATTCAATAATGCTACTGAAAACAAGTCATATGAAGAATTTGACCTGAATTTTAAGAATAAAAAAATCAAATATAAGCACACTAAGATCAGATCATTGATGGATCATTTTTTAAAATATTCCATATAAAAAGAGACTTAAGATTTAAACTACTGAGCTTGCCTTTGTTTAGATCATTTAAATGGAAAAGAAATGTAATTCATTTTCTCTCTTGAAATACTTGTAATGAAAAGAATACATATCATGAATTGTTTGGGAAGCTGTAGGTAACACATATTATCATTTATATATTGCTTTTATTAATTAACTAACAAATTAACTAATTCCTAGGAACCTATCTATGCCTATTATTAAGAGCAACTCTATAATGGTTACTGTTAATAGGCAGGTAGTAAAACTGGGATTCCAGACCACATAAATTTTTAACCAATTACATGCTGTGTCCCAAAACTAGCATGATGATAAGGGTAGATGGTGGGGGATGTGTATTACAGAACAGAGAAGATTCAATGGGGACTCAAAAAGTTGTTGTCTTAGTTTTACTACTTAATGTCTGTGTGACTTTGAGATCATTCTATTTGTTAGCATTTCTATGCCTCAGTCTTCTCACCTATAAAACAGAAAAAAACTATTATAGAGTTTCTCTGGGAATGAAAATGAGATCATGCCTGAAAAAAAAATTTAAAATAATCACTTTCACATTGTAAGTGTTCAATTAATATTATTTTTTTTCTAGTTTCTATACAGCAACTGCAGACTATACTGTTTTAATTATATTATTTAATTATATAATAAGCTAGGCTCCGTATGGCAAAACTCCTTGATGTCATACCGAAAGTGTCTGGAATTAGACTTCTGGATATTTGTCTCCTCTCTTGTTAGAAATTCAAAGTTTTATTAAAATAATAATTTCAATAATTATCTCCTACATACATAAAATAGGCACCTTGGCAGGTTAGAAATTACACTGTCAGAGGCACAATGATTGTGTTCTGACTATGACATTCACAGTTGGAAACCATCAGCTGCTCTGTGGATGCAAAAATCTAAAGATATATAGACTAGGGAACCTTGAGACACACTGCTGCTCTGTCCTGTGAGTGAAAAACTCAGCGGCATGCTATGCAACTCAACACTACCCGACAACAATGACAACTGCTTTTAGTAGTGTTCTGAAACTTTTACAGCAGTGAGAGAATGAAGTGTTAAGGGGAAAATGCAGTATGTTCAACTTTACCATGTCAGTATCACCCAGACTTCATTTTGTTTTACCTAATGGTTCTATTTAGCATTAGCACTGCAGAGGGAGTAAAACACAAACCAGCATGCCTACTTGAGGGTGAAGTAACTTCTATTTGTGGATGTTTCCTTTAGGAACAAAGTATGTTTCCATTTTCATAATGTGTTACAGACTTTGGAATGTAGGACTCTAGTGACTGTTGTAATTAACACACAGACATACACAGGTGGACATATCTCACATATACACAAACTGCTATTGAGCTTGTTCCAACTCATGGGGACCATCCACTGGGTTTCCAATTTTAAGGAAGCCGACTGTCTCATCTTTCTCCTGAGAAGCAGCTAGTGGCTTTGAACTGCTAACATTTCAGTTGCAAGTCCATCAGGAAATCCAATAGTGCCCTTTCTCCTCCCACCTCCCCAAGTCTCTGCCCTCTCTTTCCAGTGTCTTCATGCTGCGGATGAAGCTTGTTGTGTACCATCCTTTTACATTTAACACTATTCCTACATGTTATGTTGTTGGTGCTGGACTCAATTTAAACTAGGAAAATAATAAAGTAACCGTCTGGAGCAAACCACTGCATATAACCAACACATAAATAAGGATGTGCCAGCCAATTATTTGTTTGACAATACCACCAAAATATTTATAGAAGTGCAAGAGTAGTCTACTTTAGGAACTAATTTACATATCATCATGGGACTGCTAGCCTTGAAAAGAGGCAAATGGGCTAGATTATGATCATACCACAGAGCAGTCATTATGAGTTAATTCACATAAATTGGAGTGAATCTTCACTGGAGTGAATTTTTGTGGTTTTCAGCTGACCAGGCTATACTTCCTAATGTTGCTATTCATGTTGTTGCTTTGTGCCTCAAGTTGGAACTCACTCATAGATAATCCACTAGCAGGTTTTCAGGGGCAATAAATCTCATAGATTACCCATTTATATATCCTGTGGAGTGGCTGATGGTTTTGAATCATGTACTGTTGGGTTGGCAATGCAACTCCTTATCACTAAGTCATCAGTGCTTCCTGCTATTGCTTATACCTTCTGAAGGATGCACTTCAGTATTTACAAGTTTGATTACTGTATTAATAAACAATTCTTGGAAGGATGGAGGGACAGTGTAGGAGAGGAAAACTTCAGATGAGATGGACTGACACAGTGACTGGGGCAAATGCGAGTAGGTGTATCTGAGACAACGAGACTCGTTCAGGAGAGAGTAGGGTTCAGAGTGATTGTGCAGAGGGTTGTTATTAAGTCACAAACAACTTGATGGCACAACAGTGACAACATGATATATGGAGAAAAGATTGAAGTTGTTGATGATTTCATTTTACATGGATCCACAATCAACACCCTTGGTATCCACAGTCAGGAAAGCAAAAGACTTATCACACTGGGAAAATCTACTGTCTAGAACTACTCCAAACTGCTGAAGAGCCAAGGATGTCAGATGCATCTGATGCAAGCCAAAGTCTTTTCAGTTAATGGCCATGCATTTGAAATTTGGACAATGACTAAGGATGACAGAAGAAGAACTGATAGCTCTGAATTGTGGTGCTGGAGAAGAGAAATATCAATAGACTTCCAAAAGAAATAAACAAGTATGTGCTGTAGAAAAGGAGACCATAGTGCTCTTTAGAAGACAGGATGGTGAAGTTTTGTCTTACATACTTTGGACATGCTATTAGGAGGGACTAAGCCTTGGAAAATGACATGTTTGAGAAGGTGGAAGCTCAACACAGAAGAGGAAGACTCAACAAGATGAATTGCCATGGTGATTATAACAATGGGCTTAAGTACATCAGAGATGGTGAGAAACACACAGAATAAGGACCAGGTTCAGATCTGTTGTTCACAGAGTTGCTATGAGTCTCAGTCAACTTCACAAAACCTAACAGCATTATATTCTCGATTTTTTAAACTGTTAATGTTTTTATTTTAATTTTTAAAAAAGCCTTTAACTGATGATGACTATAGTTGATCTTGAAGTCTCCAAAGAGAGAAGAAAAAAAAAAAGATTGAGAGGCTCTGCTGGTAACTGAACAATTGGCAACTCAGGGGTGCCTTGGAGCAAAGACCAGGCAATCTAATTACAAAAAACTGTGAAGGCATTTTACTCCCAACACATGGGTCACCCTGTCTGACAGTTAATTCAACAGTCACTGGTTAATACTGGTGTTTTTAAACTTATACATAAATGACTAAAGGTGTGCTAACACTACTGAATGCTTGGTGCTGTATTGCCTTGGTTTATTTTGTAGACACATGACTAAATATATTTCTGGAATCACATAAAAGCCTCCAGCATTGGCAAGGGCTACCAGTATATACATTCCTAATTACTCGGTTTTTGGCAGTAGTGTCCCTGAAATATAACAGAAATAACCATTTGGAAGATGTCATTAATTGGCAGGCCATTAAGCAAAAAATCAATCTCATTAATTTTAGTTTTGGTGAATGTATCTCTTCCTCAGAGTTGAGGTCTCAAAACAGGTAACAGCATCAGCCTAGCAAAAGGGTGCTCATTCCCTTTATGCCATGTGCTTGATCCATAATTAACTCTCACAGGGTTTACAAACATTGAAAGAGAAGTTTAAGTAATTAATAATGTAATAGGAAATTAAAAGGAAACAAATACTTTAAGCAACTACAAATGCATATAAACTTTAGGAAAATTACTCCAGACCACTATAGCAAGGGTCTTCTGGTATGGCCCATCCCATCATAACTGAGTAGATTCCGACTCAAAGCAATCTTTTGGGACAAAATGGAAAGCTTCTGAGACTGTAAATTGCATAGAAGCAGACTGCCACATATCTTTGTCAATGAGAGGCTAGTGGGTTTGAACCACTAACCTTTCGATAATCAGACTCATGTTTAACCGTTGTGTCACCAGGGCTCCTTTCCAATGAGATCACATTAATTCTTAGAGATAAGTTATTTAGCAAAATACATAGGAAAGTTTATAAAGACAAATGTGGCATCAAGATTAAAGGAAGACACATCAACAATATGTGTTATTGCAGATGACACAACCCTGACTGCTGAAATTGAGGAGGACCTGAAGTGCTTGCT